TCCAAACATGAGAGTCTACCACTGGGAGAGATGCGGATCGGACCATGTACCCATTCAAGTCAAACTTGATTTGGAGGAGAAGACATTACTTGGGGATGGTCATTTCGCTATGAACCATACTAGGAGAAGCATGAGGATTTCAATAAGATAAGTGAAGAGGCATGGAATCAACAAGGGAGAGTTGGATCTATGGAGTGCATAAAACAATGTGAGGACAAGCTGATTACCTGGAGCAAGAAGCTTTTGGATCTCTAAAGCTGAGAAGTAAGAAGGCAGAAAAAGCTTTACAGGCTCTGGAAAAGAGAAAATGAACCAAGTCAATGCTACAACAGAGGAAATTACATGAACAAGAATTAAATGACATCATCCTCCAAGAAGAAATAAAGTGGAAACAGAGATCAAGGGTTGATTGGTTAAAAGAGGGGGGGGTCAAAACACGAGTTGTTTTCATAGGAAAGTCTCTGAGAGACGAAGGAAAAACACTATAAGAAGCCTCCAAGATGAAACTGGCCGTGTTTTTACAGGCCAACAGGAAGTGACAAATTGCCTGCTAGGGTATATGCAGGGCTTATTTGCCAAAGGAAGAAGAGCAGAGGTTGAGTAGAATTCTTCCTTTAGTCACCCCTAGAGTGACGACAGAAATGAACCAGACACTTCTTGAGCCATTCACAGAAGAGGAAATATGGATGGCGTTGAAGAACATGGGCCCAAACAAGGCCCTTGGACCAGATGGAATGTCTGCTCGTTTCTTTCAGAAACACTGTCACATTGTAGGGCAGACAGTTTTATGTGAGTTGACAACCTACTTAGAGGTTGGGGAGTTTCCCATGGAACTAAACAAGAACTTGATTTCTTTGATACCGAAGAAAAACAAACCGACTTCTCCAATGGCATTCAGACCTATAAGTCTGTGCAATGTACTTCACAAAATATTGTCGAAAGTACTTGCAAACAGGCGCTGAATCAGGTCATAGGGGAGCAGCAGAGTGCTTTCATTCCTGGAAGGTTTATAACATACAACATTATTCTAGTGGCTTTTGAATGTTTCCACACCATGAAATAGAAAACTCGAGCAAAAAAAGGATTCATGGCATCTAAGTTGGATATTTCGAAAGCATATGACAGAGTGGAGTGGGAGTTCCTAGAGGCTATGATGCTTAAACTCGATTTTGCAAAAAAGATTGGTGGGAATGATTATGAAGTGTATTACAACAGTCACCTACTCTATTCTGGTTAATGGCCACAAATCTGAGGAATTTAATTCAGAAAGGGGGTTAAGACAGGGTGATCCATTGTCACCTTATCTATTCTTATTATGTGTAGAAGGCTTGGCTACCCTATTGACAAATGCAGTGAATACATGGAAGCTACATGGACTGAAGACTTCGGCCAGAGGACCAGTCATCTCGCATTTACTTTTTGCGGATGACAGTATTCTGTTTACAAGAGCTACTCCCCAAGAAAGCAGTCAGTTGAAGGACCTACTAAAGCTCTATGAAGAGGATTCAGGTTAGGTGGTTAATATGCATAAGTCTAAGCTCAGTTTCAGCCCAAGGGTGGATCAGACTAAACGTGATAAATTGTCAAACATACTTGGAATGCAACAGGTGAATTTTCATCAAAAATATCTAGGTCTACCTACAGTAATGGGCAGAGAGGAAAAAGCAGCCTTCCAAGTGCTGGTTGATTGAATAAGAAAAAAAATAAGCACTGGAAGGGGCAAACCCTATCCATAGAAGCAAAAGAGGTGCTCATAAAATCGATGGCACAAGATCAGGCTACCTACTCGATGTTAGTGTTCATAATACCTGATGGGGTGTTGAGTGAAATGAGGAAAGCTATTGCTAGTTTTTTGTGGGGACAACATAAAGAAGAAAGGAGAATTCCTTGGATAGCTTGGCATAAACTATGTAAACCAAAGGTGGAAGGAGGGATGGGGTTTAGGGACTTGAAAACTTTCAACATAGTACTACTAGGGAAGCAGATATGGAATCTCATCAACAATCCAGAATCCCTAGTGGCCAGAATGCTGAAAGCCAAGTACTACCCCAACTCTAACATCTTACAAGCAAGGCTAGGATCCAATCCTAGTTATACTTGGAGAAGCATTATGGCTGCTCAACAAGTGGTGAAGGATGGAATTCATTGGAGGGTTGGTAATGGCTCGAACATTAACATTTGGTCAGATAAATAGTTGGTCGGTGCAAAGGAGGCTGAGTTTCGGGTGACTACATCTAAACCAAATACAAAGGGGTTTAACTAGAGTTATTGACCTAATTGACCACGAGCAAAGAAGGTGGAGAACTAATATGCTGCTGATCGATTTCAATATGGAAGAAAAGGAGAAGATAATTGTCATCCCCGTTCAGAGGCAACCAGCCAAGGATACCCTAGTCTGGGGTGCAGAGAAAAAGGGTTGTTACACAGTCAAATCTGAATACAAACAACAGATGCAGAAAAATCATAAGGAGCAGGAATGGCAATGCGGCAGGTCCGGGGCGGGTTTCTTGGTACCCAGACCCGCCCGGTGGCAGGATGGGTACATGGCAGGTAATTTATCACGGTTCGCAGGTTGGGGCAGGTCAACCCAATGGGTATGCAATTTATATGAAAAACATTAGAAATATTCATTATTTTTATTATATGACGAAGAAAACAAACATTATTATGATAAATGTAGTTAAATTATTAGAGAAATTGAGGTTTTCACTAATTTAAAACTTTATTATAGCTAAATTATGATGTAATAAAAGAAAAATACTAAGTAATTTAACTAAGATTACATATAATTTAGGCAAGAACGGGTCGAGAATTGGGTCGGGTCAGGGAGGAAGGATACCTGGGAAAAACCGCAAGAAGGCTGGGTGAAACTGAACGTGGATGCGGCGGTGCTGACGGATGAAGGAACTGGCTTAGGAGTGGTAGCCAGAGATGCGAATGGGAAGTTCCTCCTCGCAGCGGTGCGACGGGAACGAATCCAATGGCCGCCAGACTTAGCAGAGCTCCTAGCGATCGCTTTTGGTGTGCAGGTGGCGGAGTAGCACAATCTCCAGATGGTGGTGGTGGAAAGTAACTGTCTCGCTGCCATCTAACAGATTCAGGCGAAGGAAATGACGAGACTGAAGGGTGGAGTGATGGCCCGAGAAATCAGAGATAGGGCGACGGGTCTCGGGTCTCGGGTCGGTTCAATGGAGTTTCATTAAACGAACCGAAAACGAACTGACCCATGTTATGGCCCATTTAGCTTGTAATTGGGACACCGCAGAACTTTGGGCCCAAAGGCGTCCTATGTCTATCCTTTCTTTTCTTGAGAAGGATGGTTGAATTTATTTATGAATAAAATTCAGGTTTCTATAAAAAAAGAATATTTGGTGTTTTGAATTGTGGTTTATCTATTTTATACCCATAAAATTCTACATCTACAAAGGTTCTGTATGAACTATTTTTCCGGTCTCACTACCAACAAGATACGATTTAACAAAGTAATGACGATGTGCCTTTCAATTGCTCACTCTATGCTTAGCCAACAACGGTGCTTTCAAAAGGTCCCACGGCCCCAGACAAGTAGGTGGGTGCTTCTCAGGCACATTTCATCAAACATCTATTAGGCATCATGACCGACTCCTTCCCATGAAATCAAAGGAATATCCACATCCGGCAAGGCCTGCATCTTTGAGAATAAGATGTTAAACACACACTAATCACATTGTTCATGACATTGACAATGATAAATGCATTGCAGCAACTACATTAAACACCTGCCGACCGGGCCCATAGATTCAAAAACCTAATTAATCTAGAGCACGCCCACAAAAACCCTAGAAACGAAAGGAAAGCAAATCGAAAACGGGGAGCTTCTTAATAAAGAAGACCACATGTTAATTACATACTAATCACTAGCTAGCTTCTGGATACTAGTGGGAGAAAAGAGACGGAACACAAAGTACTGATCGCAACGACTGGTAATTAGTTCGGAGCTAGTGCATTCCCTGGGCTTAGGCAGCACCGCCTTCTCCAACTGGCCCAAGAATATGAAGTGATTTGGACACAGAGTGAGGACCTGAATAAAACGGAGAAGAAAAGGATTAAAATTAGGTCATCGTTGACCGGCCGGGAAATATGAATCGGCGACCAGAGAAAACAAAACAAAAAATTTAGCAGAGCGTATAGGTATAGGTAGGGTAAGGTCTTACTATAACGCACATGGTGAAAGAGAGCTCCGAGCCAGGTAGTACGCCCCGCCGATGACGAAGAACTTGAAGAAATCATACCCCAAGTTCCTCCAGAATCCCATAGTTGATGCTGATCGCTGCTAAAATTGCTCATTCTCTCTCTCTCTCTCTCTCTCTCTCTCTCTCTCTCTCGCGCGCGCGCGAATAACGAAGCCACATCCCAGTCCTTAGCGGTGTGGTTTTGGATTTTATAACAGAGGAGAGAGAAGGAGGGGTGCGTTGGTCCTTTTGTACTACGTGCCAATTTTACTATGATCCGAAGGGTTTATAAGACCATCCACATACATGAAATACTATTTCTATTCCATATGTGGTCCCTACTGCCACATCAACAACTTTTTCTATTTCACTACATATCACTTCCATTTCCTTTACATCCATAAATCCACTATCTATTTCATATGGTGGGTCCAGTTTAGTTTTTAATATATCTATACATTTATATCTAACCTATATGATTTTACCAATTTAAGATGTATCAAATAATTAAAATAATCTATTGTAATTATTTAATTTATCAATGATGAAATAAATTTACTAATTCATTAAAAAATATATTATAACTTTATTCATCGATTAAAAAATAAATTATGGAATTTAAAATGGGTAGACTTTAATAAAAATACATGAAACTCTTATTAAAGTCACAAGTACAATATTCAAATGACAAATTACAACACAATCACAATTCAAATAAACACACGTAAATAACACAATTACTATTGCAAATAAACACACTTAATACAAATACATAGAAATGATGCTAGATTAATCATCGTACCCTTCGTCTTCAAATCGATTCCATATCTCTTCTATTAAATCGGATTGAAGTTGATTATTTGTTGACCTATTACGAATCCTTTTGTGGTTCCGAAGATACTCATCATACTCTGGGAGATGATTTTGAGAAACTGTAGGCATCGAGACTTCGAAGTTCACGTCTTCATCTGTGTAATCAAACTGACGAACATATGTATCTCGCTCATCTTCCACAATCATGTTGTGCATAATTATACATGCTCTCATTATTTCAGCGATTAGGTCTTTACACCACATGCGTGACGGTCCACTGATTATAGCAAAATGTGGTTGGAGCACCCCAAATGCTCTCTCGACATCTTTTCTAGCTGCCTCTTGCTTCATTGTGAACAACTTGTGTTTTGGTCCTTGAGGTAATGGAATTGACTTGACGAAAGTAGCCCAATTGGGATAAATACCATCAGTTAGGTAATATCCCAAATTGTAGATTCTTCCATTAACAGAAAATTGAACCTTTAGTGCTTTCCCTTCTAACACTTCACGGAAGACAGGAAACCGATCTAACACATTTATGTCATTCAGTGTACCTGGAACACCAAAGAAAGCATGCCATATCCACAAATCTTGTGAAGCAACAGCTTCAAGCATAGTGGTTGGGGTTTTATGATCCCCTCTAGCATATTGCCCACGCCAAGCTACCCGACAATTTTTCCATTTCCAGTGCATGCAATCAATACTTCCTAACATACCATGGAAACCTCTTTGCTCTCCCACATGGAGCAAACGCTCGACATCAGCAACATTGGGCCTCCTTAGGTACTCGTCACCAAACACAACATTGACAGCTCTTACAAATTTTTTAACACATAATGTTGGAGTGGACTCACCAATTCGCAGATATTCATCAACAACATCTACAGCCACACCATAAGCTAACATTCGAATTGTTGCTGTGCACTTTTGAAGGGGTGAAAGGCTTGATCTGCCCGTGGCATCATGATTGCTTTGGAAGAACGAATCTTGATTCATGACACCTTCAACTATGCGAAGAAATAAGCTTCTTCTCATGCAAAATCTTCGCCGAAACTTGTCTTCTGGGAATATTGGATTTTCAGCAAAGTAATCATTGTACAATTGTTGGTGTTCATCTTCACGACCCCCTTTCAATGTACCTTCTTGGCTTTATTCTACGTCTAGATGAAGAGGATTCATCTGCTAGTTTTTGTTGTTGCAATTGCACATATTATTCCAAAACTTCAGATAGTGAATCATCAAGAAACCATCGAACAATGTTTTCATTAGAAAAAGGGTTATTGGGATCGGGATCTGAAGAAGATGAGGAAGATGAAGTGGAAGAAGAAGATAAAAAGTTCATCTCTATATTATCCATGTTGTGAGGATTATGGCTGAGACATCAATGTGTAGTTATATTTATTGATGGAGCATATTTTTCATATGAGGGAGGGATGATAAGAAGATAAGAGGTGTGTGGTGTTGGTTTAAAGCAGAGATGAGATGAGATAAAGAGATGAGGTAGGTAAGATGAAGCTTTTCTATTGGTTGGATAGAATTTTTCTCTACAAAGTGACAGAAAGGGGTGTGTGGTGTTGGTTTAAAGCAGAGATGAGATGAGATAAGGTAGGTAAGATGGAGTTTTCTATTGATCGGGTAGGATTTTTCTCTGCAAAGTGACAGAAAGGGGTGTGTGGTGTTGGTTTAAAGCAGAGATAAAGTGACAGAAAGAGGATCAAAGAGGAATAAGAATACTGCTACAGGCCAATATACTTCATCCTCCTCTAACACAAGCATGCCTCCCTTGGAGATTGTGAGGTTGTTTCTCATTCTCGTCCTCCAGGAAGAAAAGAGTCAAAGGATAAAGGTAAAAGATCATCTATGTCATCTGATTCGGTGGAAAGTATGCAAGCAACAGTGCAACAAAAAATTAGTATTGAAGTAGGAAAGGTAGACGCATTGAAAGAGTTCACGGCTGCAAAGGTAAGACTGGAGGAGGAACGAGAGAGGAAAAGAGAGGAACGAGAGAGGAAGAAAGAAGCATATAAGAGAGATAAGTTAATTGTGAAATTGATGGAAATGGAACTATCAACGACGACAGACGCACAAAAAATGTTGTATGAAAAGAAAATTGGGAGATCAGTGATTTTATTTCATGCTTTGAATAATTTATGTAGGTGTGTATTGTCGTACGCGTATTTGCTTTCTGTTACAGTTTAAGACTTCTATATGCGTACCAATTTATGTGAATTTCATTTCCGTCATCAGCTACAATAATCATGCGTTTAGGCTATGTAATTTAATCTTTAATGTAAGAGTTATGAATTTATTAATGTTGATTATCTCAAGTAAATAAACTACAAAAGTATAAAAACACGTTAATAAAGAAACTAAAATGATTGTCCCAACTATTAAAAGAAAATGAAAAATGAAAGTAAAAAAGAAAAGGACAAATGTGGGCATTTGGCATTTCACTAGATGAAATATCCCATGTCTGACATGAGTTCCTCCAACCATGAAATAGCCAATGAAAAATGCCATGTCACTATGAAATAGGGAGAAGACAGGCTATGTGGATGCTCTAATAGGACTGATTAGATATTTTGTAGAAAAGGACAAATTTGCGTTTTAGCTGAGAATAAAATCAAGAGATAGCATTTGCCTACCATAGATAGATAGACATCACAAGAATGATTGATGTGCTGCTTCCACTAGCTAGCCTGTGCTAAGGCTGTACGAGAATCCGCAATTCGATGTTATCTGGTTTGGTAGGAACTATTTAAGTTGATGACAATTGTTAAGAGGGTTGTTATTTGCCGCCCGTATATTTATTATTTGCCGCTCATGTATTAATTCAAAATGACATTTTTGCCCCCATCAACACTCCTTTCATCACCCTCACACCCTTCCCTCCCAACCATCGCCGCTGGCCAGTGCAACCTCCGCTGCCGACCACCAAAAACCATCTCCACCTCCGTCCACCACATCATCGCCGCCACCGGACCTCCCAAATCATCTCCGCCGCGGTCCACCACATCATCGCGGCCGCTAGACCTCCCAACTCACAACCGCCAGACCTCCCAATAAACGAAACAGGAAAAAAAAATATATGCTCGCCGCCAACGGACGCCGTCCGCCTGCGAAAATCGGACGGGGTCCGCGCACAATTGTCGGACGGGGTCCGATCTCTGGCATCAACGGGGTCGGTCGGACTTCGGGCCGGAAGGGGTGGTGCGACGCTGGAGTTTGGATGGTCGCCGCCAGAACTAATTAAAAAGCACTTTGATTGAGGAAATTAATTAAAGAAATAAATATTAATAAATTGTGTTAAATGTGAATAATTAATGAAATTTGTTTCGGTTGGTAATTAAGGTTATTTGCGGAATAAAGGTCACATATGTTAATGAAGGAATTGTTTATGTTGTTAATTATGGGAAACGAAATTAAGGCAAAAAGTTGAAGGAATAATCAATTTAGGTTAATACAATTAACTTAATTGTACTTTCCGTGTTTGTCTATGCTAGCTGTTGAGTTTGTTCTCTTTAGGTGATTTTGTTTTTGTGTAAAAATAGTTGTAGGAATAAATGTGGCAACTAGTAAACTAACAAGGGTGGCTTTTGAAGGTGGTTAGTAATGATTAATTGAAAGAATATAGTTAAATTAGTTAGATTAGTGATTCAATCATAGATTATGATTTGATTTTGACCAATTAGGTTCTAGCGAGATTAGGGTTTGACCTTTACTAATTAGGGTAGGATTTGACTTAATTAGGATTTGACCACATTTGAATCAATCCGACCCAAAATGACGTATAACAAACCAACTCGACTCCATCCAATCTTACACCGTCTACACCTCCCTAACCCTAAACCCTCATTCCAATAAAATAGCTACCTTCAATATCGATCCATCGAATGCTACTACGACATTGTTTTAGAGGCAAAATCTTCTATGCATCCACTAACAACAATCATTAGCATCGTTAAAATACACGTGGTAGGGTCATAAAGCACCTCGTTACGACCCACAGAGCCCCGAAAAATATCGACGTAAATTTGAACACTATTCATCATTTTATGTCTGGTACGTTCAATCGAGAAACGGTCAATTCCACTACAATCATATTCACATTTTAAGGGATCGGTGAGAGTTTCTATAATTTTTCATGTTGATGGCTCTAGTAATTGCAAAAGGATGCATTTTTCCAACCTTCCACAATCACAAATAGTCCTCTCCGCAACCCGATTCCTTGGGTAAAGTTTTATAAAAAATTTAATATATATTTTAGAACTATTCAAAAAAATTAAATAAATTATCCATAAATTGTTAAAATTTAATATAGATTTCTAAAATTGTGGGCGGCAAATAGTAATCTACCGGGCGGCAAAATCTTAATTGGTGAAAGTCAAACCGTAATATCCTTAAACGCTAATTGGTAAAAATCCAACCCTCATTATATAAATAAATTATGGATAATTATAAATAGTATACAAATCAATAAATAATTAATATTTAGAATTATCAGAACCAATACCCACGTATGGTTTCATTAAGGAAAATGTTTGGATCGTCATTAATAATACAAAATATCCTTTTTTCGTGCTTAGTAGTGTTAATTAAGAGAATTTTTTACTATTATTAATTGGAGAGATGAAATTAGACGTGACTCGTGAGTCATGGAGTAGGACATGTTAGTTAAGATTCTTTTTTGGGATGTCAATTAAGGAAATGACATTAGATGTAGGTTATAGAATTATACGTGTTAATTAAGGAAAGACGTGTTAATTAAGGAATATTTTTTACGGTTGTCAATTAGGGAAATGGAATTAGACATGTTATTTTATCACCAATCTACCTAATTCTATCAATTTAATTAGCACTATTATGTACAATGTTTTGTATAATTATTTAATACAACTTACATTGCATTCGTTCAAATGAAGATGATTGTTAATTAGGGATAATTATTTAATACAACTTACATTGTCTCATTTAATTATTTTCTAATTATCAACGGTTGTTAATTGCGGAAACGGATATTTGTGGGTTAATTAAAGAATTTTGGGATGATTGTTAATTAAGACCATTTCCATATTGTCTCATTTAATTATTTCCTTATTATCAATGGTTGTTAATTGATAATAAGAGGAGGAGTTCACGAGGCATGTTTTGGAGAGGCATGTTTTGGCTATCGCTATAACATTGGACGTTGGCTACAAGCTAATTATATATGGAAAGGCGTCTAGAGGAGGAGTTCAGGAGGTGGATACATCCAATGCATATAGCACATGCCACAGGTAAACCATCTGAAATATAGTATTGATTTGATCGTCACGATATACAATCCTTTCCGGCTATGGTTCTTGCATCATTCGTGCCTTGCTAACAATTTTCTTAGAGATGCCGTTAGCTAAGTGAGATATCTTGGAAGGGACATTTCATCGAGCGACAAAGTTCCTGCCTTCCGCCTTCGAGCGACGAAGTTCCTCCTATATGATCCAGTGAGTTTGACGTTCAGTCCTCGTTGAACCCACTAGAAGTTTGAGATTAGACTATGAGCACTTTTGATAATCCTTATGGTATAATAAATAGTGAGATTACATAAGTGAATTGCACATGAGTTATCGACTCTAAAAGAACCTCTTTCGCTACGATCGACATCGTACGTCTTCGCCTTCCAGTGCTTTAACTTCTTCTTCAACCTATCAAGTAAGATTGAGAATAATTTTTTTCCTTATCTCCCCACCACTGTCAGCAAAACCATATACTTGTCATGTTTGTTCATGATGAACACTCAAAATTCTTGATCAAACATAGCCTAAAGCAACATAATTTTCTCAAGATTCATTTTTTACGATAGTACATGCTTCAAGATTCATGACACAATATTAATTTATTATCCAAAACACAGCCGAGTGTTTATTTTCAACAGAATACGACAATTCAAATAGTTAATATATGATAGCCTCACCTAGCAACGGTGTCTGTCCAATTACATTAGCCTAATCACCCATTCAACCAACTAATAAACATACCTAATTCCTTCAACAACATCA